TTTTGGGGGGTTATGCAAACTTGTCAGATATGCTTAAACTAACAACAAGATTCGATATTATGGATGACACACATATATTATAAATTGGTTTGACTATTTGAAACTATGGTGTAATAAAGAATTAATAGGGTATTTTGGTCTTTTTCTGGAATCTAATGGTTCTAAGAATTGGCACACTATTTTACTAATCAATCTAGTCCTATTTGTGTCAACATTGATTTTGGATACATTTGGAATGAGATTAGGTTCTGTGGAATAAAGGACAACAGAAATGGTTTAATTTCGTATAGAAAAAGGAATAAAGGGCAATTTGGTCATTTTTTTGCTACCGTCAACTGCAACAGGATCTCTCATGCCTGCATGAAGTATTGAGGCTATGACTGGCAAGGGAAAGTAGAAGTTAGCTTAATGATAATCAAGTTTGGTGCAATAAAATCTTTAAGGGGTATTTTGGTATTTATAAAATTTTACATGAATTTGATATTTTTCAAGAAGGTTTCCGGTGTAATATTACCTACTAGGACATTTACACCAGGTTCTTTCACGAGTATAGAAGGAATGGGCAATATGGTCTTTTTCTCGTGGTGTAATATCATAGTCATCCCAACAAACATGTCCAGCCTAACCTAAATCTAAACAGTTACTAAAAGAGTAAAATCTTTTAGAATTTTTCTGAAGTTACCTGGAGTGGCAATCTAACAAGAGTGAGTTGCTAACATCATTATTTTAGTACGTTTTCATCATGACTCTCATACTTGAAATGACCTAATTACAAAAAATCCCTTCGTATATGTATTAATGATAAGTTTTATAAAATGAAATTCATATTTGTTTTGTAAGTAAATTATTTATGATGAAACAAGAAAGCATATGCTTACACATACCTCATTTGTTTGCTTGTGTGAGTTTAATTCCTTCCTATTTGCAAAAAATGCACCAAATTTCTCATATGACAATCTAGCCCTAATGAAAGTTAGAAAAGAGTGATAGATGATTAGCAACAATACTAAGAACGAGTTGAATGGAGAAAAATGCAAATGATGAGTATATAGGTAATTTTCACCTCACTTGTCTAAAAAAATACCATCTACTTGAGCGCATCCTGCAACAAGCACAAACTAGTGCACATTAGTATCATTATGAACATTGAAATCAAAATGCTTTGAATGATTAAGTTGGGACTATTCAATGAACCTTTTTAATATAAATAGGAAAGGCAGACTTCAAACCATATAACCACTCTTTGATCTACCCAAAATCTTAATGGAAGTAACTCACAAAACTTCATTCTTCATCTCGAAGGGACATCATGAGTGTCTTCTTGAAGCTCTGCAACTACATGAGTGATCACTAACGAGTTACAAGACTAAGAATTAAGTTCAGGAATTGAAGAATTAAATATTGGTTTCACCTTTCTACACACTGTTCAGGGAATAATAAGGAATCAAGAGTATCTTTCATCAAAATTTATACCACAATGTGATAACTGATAACCCCAAACTTCATGAGCACTATACAAATCTAACAAGTTGCAGTGACCAAGATGCCTGATACAAACACATAACATATATATTGTTATACTACAAAAAGTAAACAATTGGATTATACACTGAAATGACTAAAGGCACGACTTTCTAATTCTACAACTTCTATAGAATTATTGCACTCTAAGGCAATTTTCAGATACAAAAAATAAATTGCTAAATTTCCTTTTCCATACAACTTTTAAAATAGAATTAATTTAATCACCATTAGACTATTAATATGCATGAGTTTGAACAACAAGTAGCAATAGTTGGTAAGTAGGATACGTTAGATTAATATGTATATTTTAAACATACAAAAAAAGTATGAGTGCTTCCTGTGAAATCATGTCACGTGGGCATTCAAGTAGAAAACTAAATTTATAATAAATCATATATAACTATGCTAAAGATGAAGGTCATATAGTAATACATTAGTTAAAATAGATTTCGAGGTTATGATAAGTTATCTCACCTTAGAGTATGTAAAATTTCATTACAGTAAGATAAAATATCACGTGGGCATTCAAGTAGGAAACTTTCTAAAGTCTGCACACACAAAAAATTACACTGTAACATAAAAAAACTCAATCATGTTGAATTAAATAAACTAAGAACATAAAGTAGCAAACCATATTTCCAAGTTGTGGACCAAATTTATAACCCACAATAAGGCTAAAAATATATTTTTTTAATTGTAATTAACTTTTAACCATAAAAAGGTAAGGCAGGTATATACTCTGCAAATTACCTTAAAGCCCCATCTGAATGTTTGTATGTGTCACCTCAGCCTAACAACTTCAATTGTAGCCTCTCCTAAAAAATCAACTTGCAATAGAAGCAAATTTAGTTAAATAAGTGAAAACTACCTAAGTCCTAAAAAAAGAAAAGATTTTACTTAGTAATACAACTTACTATTCATGGGTTTCTTCCTAACACTAGCTTGATTGGAACTTAACTTAGGTAATACTGCACCTAACAACATTTCATGATCTAATCTCACAAGATTTCCAATTTTATATAGGATGTCACATAAGATAACAAGGAACTCACACTTTATGTATGTCTTCATTTCATGGATAACAAAAACCATATGTACATATTACTAACTTTATTGCCTAGTAACTTAGATATGTAATGATTTAGGAAGACACGAGGTTTGTAATTCTTCCTATCAACTTGGGAGAAACTAAAATAAGAACTGATTATGCAACAGAGGATGTAGGACTTCAGAAAAAATTGTCTTGAGAGTTATGCTTGCAACATCGAGATGCTTATATTTCCTATCCAGCAAAAGTTATCACATAGCTTATGAGTCATCATGATTACCACATAGCCTATGAGTCATCGTCAGTGCTTATGCCTCACGAATTTTCTTCACCAAAGTAGTAAGACATTTAACAGGAAAATCCTGTTACCTCACCAACTACATCATCAAGCTATTGTAGAACAATATTAGACAATCTTAACTCAAGTGCGGTATCAAGAACAATCTTTTGACAAAACAACATATAAGCTAACTGTTCCACAAGAACACTCTTTTGGCATGCTATTGACAAAAAAAGAAGAAAAATCTCCATAGGTTCGTAGCTTCTCCAGGGTACCAGGTATCGTGAATATTTCATCTTTACAAAACTCTATCAGGATCTCAGATCAAACACACTTATAATAGATACCTAGAACAAGTACATTTATCAAACGAAATTTTCAATGCATAATCACACACTATCGTTTTAGTATATTATATTCGGAATGTTTGAAAAATTATGAGGAATCGACCAAAAAGCCCTACATTGAGCAAAGTCTACCAAAAAAACACTTTTGACTAATGATAAAAGCTGAAAACAGAACTTTGAATCAACCAAATGTAAAAAAATAAAAAAAAACAATATAAAATACAATGACTAATTCCCTAATTAAATTAGCTATTTGACATACGAAACTAAAAATTTATGGTAAAATCCTTAATAATAAAACAAATGAAGTAGCATTTCGAATTGCTTAATTAAATAATTGAATGGTACCTTAATCGTTTGATCTGAATAATCGATTAACCAAAGCCAACATAGAGGTGTCTGTGATTGCTAGAAGGCGATGTCTGGGAAAAACGCTAGGACATATCACAGAGAGGGCCTGCAAATACGGGAATGGGTGGCTCACGAATGGTTGCGACTGCGAAGATAAAGAGATATCATGCAAAGACTCCTGCAATTGCGTTGAGATGATTGCGACAAACTTAACAAACAACACTAATTAAACACCTAAACAATAAAATTTGGGTTTCGGGAGTCTGGAATTCGGACGATCTTAAAACCCTAAACTTTAGGTGCACTCCTTTCAGAACCGTAAAAACGAGAAGGAAATTAGTATAGGAAAGTTTTGAACAAAAACTATTAGCATTTAGTGGAATTGAATAAATTATAATAATACATTTAGTGGAATATAATGAATTGTACGACATAAAATCTATATTTCTAGTGGCATTTTATATAAATATGCCACTAATAAATATGATTATTAGTGACATAAAATATTAAATGTCATTAAATTCATTAATGTTTTAGTGGCATATACATAATGTGTCACTAAAAACATAATATAGTGGCACAAAAAATATATGCCATTAAAATCGTATGCCACTAAATATCATATTGTTTGTAGTGTTTGCCACACCCATACCAAATTATATAGGCAGGGTCTAGTTATGTTCGTCCATAACAACTGTTATGGACATTATCTTTAGGTAGTCCACTCTTAGACGAACACTACCTATAAAGATGGTTGACAACAAACAATCTATAAATGCATGGACTTGTAGTTTTTTAGGAAAACAAAACAATTAGTTGTAAAAACGTTATAAATTTTAAATAAACAATTAAAATATAAAACAAAATTATTTTACCACACATCTAATAACCACAAAACATAGTTAGAAACGATCCATAACATATGTTTTGATGTTCGTGTAACTATGAGGGTTCGTCCGCCGAAGATTGTGCAAGTACACAAGCAAGTTGGTAGTGCTTTCTTCGTGCTCAATGTCTGAGAAACTCATCTTCAAACAGTTATAATAGAGAATTGTGGATGATTCGAAATAAGTGAATAACTAAATGGAAGACCATTTTATTTTATATAGGGAAGAAATACCTAGTTTTTTGGAGTCCGGAATGTGTGTTTGAAATGTGAGTCCGTGAGTCCGGAATGTCAGTTTTACATGTACAGTATTGACTACCGTACTCCGGAATGTACAGTGTCAGATTTCAGAGTCGAACCTCCACCTACCACCAACTGTTTCAGAATGAATATTGTATCTCCAAAATGTCCTATTCTGAAGATAGTGATTATTTTTCCAGAAAAATATAAAAATTGATAATAAGATCGACAACAAAACTTAAAATAGAAAAATGAATATTGAAAAAAATTGTGGCAGAAGTTTTATAAGATTGACAACAAAACTTAAAATAGAAAAATGATCGTTCACCCTCCTTTGCGTTTAATATATGTAGCGCATTCGCATCTCGAGCAACACAAATCCACGCGCTTCTCTTTTCTTTTTTCTTGTGCTTTTAGAATTCGAATTCTGTTGTGGGAAATTGAATTCGATAAACCCCCCTGCAACCCATCAAAATCATAAGATTCCAACCATCCCTCAATACTCAATCATCCTGATTCTCTGATCAAAGCCCTAATTTTGATTGCTCATTCGTCACTAAGTTTCCTTCGAAAACCCTAGTAGATGAATGCGTGCATACAAACTCACGGAAAATGAAGACTGTCTGTAACAAAAATCTCGATGTGTTCGATTTTAAAGACGAGTCTCCTCGAGTTGCTCTTAGGATTACGAGCAAGCTAGATAAAATTAGAAGTGCTGCAATTGACAAGTATACATTTCTCGCAACCGGTAAGTTTTTGTTTCTGAAAATTATCTGTTACATTCCCTCGTGTTTTGTTTTCTGCATCTTCTTTTGGGATCTCCGATGCGTCTCATGCTGATTTATATCTAAAATCTCAATCTTTATTGCGAATACTAGAATCCGTGAAATGCTGTTGTAAGATGTGGAGCCAATCATTGATTTTGTTGATTTTCCTTTTTTTATTATGTGGGGTATTTTCTGCCTAAAGATCGTTGGTTAACATTCTTGATGCTGATGATTTTTATCCAGTTAATAACTGCATTATGATATATACAGAACAGGGAAGTTGAGGAGGGAAATATTACTTAGAAAAATATACCATGATTGTTTATGTCAGATTTCTTATGTTTGTTCTTATTCCTTGAAGCTGCTGCTGGAGAAAACATTTCAGCAGAAGAGCTTAAATATGTTCCATCTTTAGGGATTGATGCTATCAATGTTACTCACATGGCTACCACCCTTATAGACGATCCTTCTGCTGTAATGGTGACTGATTCAAATGATGCTTTTACAGTTGCTGAACAACCTCCTCCTCAATCAACTCCAGAACTCAAAATTGATTTATCTGAATCAGAGATCAATGTAGCCACCACATCAACTTCACCTAGCAACAACAAACTGAATTCAGTCATCCTAGATCTGTTGCCCAATCTACCTGAATTCGTATGTTCTGATGATCTATCTTCAAGGTCTGAATCTCATTTGAAGTGCTCACAGAAGCAGGATGAGGCAATTGAAATGGATCCAGATGAAAATGGAAGCTTGTGTGAGGGATCTTCATCCTCTTCTGATGTTGCAGAAGATGATGGTGTTGTTGCTGGAACATCTTCAAATCACTGCATAGCCAGGTGGGAAATGGACAGTGAAGATATAGGAGCAGTGGTGTTCTACCCTGATTACATGGTGTATCGTGACAGTTATTACACAGATTCTGTAATATCTTTTAATAGCAATTCGATCAAAATGGAAGCTTCAACCACAGATGGAGATGACAAAACCTTTAAATTCAAATGGGGAATTGAGGATATACTCCAGATTAGATCTTATTGGCATGAGCAGGTATATCAGTTATATTAGTGTTATATTTAATTGTTTTCCTGTCTTATCTATGTCAGTATGAGGCTTTGAATTACTGCAGCTTTTTCTGGATTATGTGCAGGTTGAAATGGCAATGGTAGTGATTTATGTACATACCAAGGACACAATACTTACTGAAAATGTTTATTGCAATTCAGGTTATTTTGAGAAACTTTAAATGCTGTTATTAGTTATTACCGTAGTCTAGAATCTAGTATATATTGTGTAAAGATTCATGGGCTATTGTTGCTGATTCATAAATATATTGTCTTGAATCCTTTTAGTTTAAATGAGACATTCATTTGTTAAGCATTTTTCAACCAATATACTGCACAAAAAGGGAAATAAGATTAATCTGATTGATGTTGCTCTAATAAATCCAATATTTAAAGTAAATATCATGAGTTATCTGCTTTCTTCCTGCTTAATTTGGGCAAATGAATTAGATTGATGCAACTAATTCTTTCTTTCCTTTATACTTCAGACACCAAGCTGAAATTTGCAGTAATTGGGTCTCAATGTCAATGGTATGAGAGACTTGAAGCAATAACAAGTTTGAATGTCATATACAAAGATTTATGGACAAACATGCTCGATTCAGAGTGAGTTTTTAACCTTTATTGAGCAATATGCTTGAGTCTTGTAAATTCTACTATGCTGTTTGTGGTATCAACATGGACAATTATTGCAGGGATGTTGTTCTTGGACATACCATAGAACCCAATTCCAAATATCTTCCCAAGTAAGTAAAAAATGTTTCTTTCATGTGTTAAAATCCCTTCAAAATGGTTGTTTTGCAAATTGAGATAATGTATTTTTGCTTCTAGTATTGTTTTTTCAATTGTTATTGGACTCTTGCAGCTTCAGTCAACCTTTTGAAGAAGTTGTGTATCCAAAAGGAGATGCTGATGCTGTTTCTATAAGCAAAAGAGACTTTGATTTACTACAACCAGACACATTTGTTAATGACACCATCATTGATTTTTATATCAAGTATGTTCATCTTCTCCTTTTGTCTCATAATCCTCTTAAGTAGAAAATAGGACTTACAAAGAGCCTGAATTTATACTGCAGTTAAATCTCCCATGGCAACAATAAATAGAGAAGGGGAATATGATAAGGAATCATAATATCTGAACAACAATTCTCACTTTCTATCCATGTGGGATGAGTTATTACTTATTACAAGATCTCTTTAGTGGTTTTAGTGAAGCCATTGGTTTTAGAGTGTTTTTACTTTTTCCACTTAATAATGATTAAAATTTTAAATGATGTCAGGTATTTGAAGAACAAAATCAAGCCTGAGGAGAAGCACAGGTTCCATTTCTTCAACAGTTTTTTCTTCCGGAAGCTTGCTGATCCAGATAATGATCCACTTGATGCTTCTAAAGGAATAGCTGCTTTTCAACGTGTAAAGAAATGGACAAGAAAAGTTAACCTTTTTGAGAAAGATTATGTTTTTATTCCTGTAAATTATAAGTAAGTCTTTGCTTTTACTCAAATTTTTAATCAATTACAGCATTCTACTTTTGATTTTTTTTTCTTGTTAAGACATTATACTTTGAAAAATCTTTTAAAGTACAATGCTATAATAAACAAATCAATGAAAGTACATTGCTTTTTCTTGTACTTAACCATTTACTAAATTATTTTTACAGCTATCACTGGAGTCTTCTTGTAATTTGTAATCTTGGAGAGGTTGCCACATACAAAGGTCAGTGTCACTCTTCCTGATATATATGTATGTATGTATGTATGTATGTATGTATTGGATCTATTCATGCATATAAGATTTAGGTTTTGGTTATTTTTAATGGTTATGATTTGGTTCAGATGAAGATGTAAACAAGTCAATGAGAGTGCCATGTGTTTTGCATATGGATTCTATTAGAGGAAGTCATACTGGTCTAAAAGGCCTTTTACAAAGGTATTTAATCTTTCTTTTCTGGGTTATTTAAATAATTAAGTTTAATAAAATAATAGTTACCTTACATTTGAAATTCTTTAGGTGGATAGAGGTGACATAGGGTTAAATGTAAAAAATAGCAATACACCTGTATTTATTTGTTTGTTATAGTTTCTTACCTCTGTTTCTTCCTATTATAGCTTTGTGCTTTTACTTTTTACTTTTTTTTTTCACTTTCATAATCTGAAATTGTCATGTAAATTCAAACAGTTAAACTTTATGTATGGATATGACAATGCAGTTACCTGAAGGAAGAGTGGAAAGAGAGGAAACAGGAGGCATCTGAAGACATATGCTCAAGATTTGATAATTTGAGATTCATTTCCTTAGAGGTAAGATGTGTATTTAGCCTTTTTTGTAATTCATTTAGGTTTTTCATGTATTTTTTAAGTTAAATTCTGATTTTGATTATGTTTTATGCAGTTACCACAGCAGCAAAATTCATTCGACTGTGGTTTATTTCTGCTGCACTATGTAGAACTCTTCTTAGAGGAAGCTCCCCTACATTTTAATCCATTTAAAATCACAAATAGCTTCAACTTTGTAAGTACTTTAAAAAATCCATCTAGTTATCCTTATAGCAATATCATCCGAATTCAAACCAAGTTTCAAAATAGTATAATCTAATAGCCCTAAAAAGGAAAAAAAAAAGTTGAATATAATTAGGTAGAAAGAATTGAAAGTCCATTGCCATTTCTTTCATGTATTATTTTGTAATTTATGATTGGTTTCAGCTAAATATGGATTGGTTTCCACCTGCTGATGCATCTTTGAAAAGAGTAGTTATCCAGAAGTTAATCTGTGATTTACTGGAGAACCCTCATCAAGAACAACAATGCCACGTCACCTGTTTGACAACAACAAATTTCCCAAAAGGTATCTTTTGACTTTTATAAATGTACCACTTGTTATTGGATCCTGCTTTCATTTCTTCTTATTAGGGTTATAACTGTATAGATTTTTTGGTGGAAGGAGGTGGGCATGGGTGTTCTGAAACGGAATCAGCAATCCAACAAGGGAATGGAATGATGATGGAAAATGATTCCGATGTTGTATCTTGGAATGATCCGGTGATAATTGAGCATAACAACACTTCCCAATCATCACTGGAAACATCAACTTCCGGTAATTGTCAAGATGAAGACTCGGACTTGGTTGAAATAGTCAATGGAATGGATTTAGAAGAAGTCGGAATCGGATTGAAGAAGAAAAGAGATGAATTACGAGATTGCACTCAGATTGATGACGACGACGACGACGATGATGATGATGATGATGATGATGATACATGTATAGATATGATGGTCCCTTTCCCTTATGACCGGAATCCAACCAAAAAGATGAGAATTACACAAGAAGAATCAAAAGGGGTATGAAAGAAAAAGCTAATATCTCTGATTTGTGAATACTAGTGGGTGATGCTGATGCAAAGTAGGTAGGTAAAATGTTTGTTTTAGAGTTTGTGTTGAAACTAATATTACTACCCTTTCTTTTGGAGGGAGGGTGTCTTTTTAGTAGTGATACTAATGGCTGATTGATTAATCCAAGCTAAAAGTCATTTCATTTCATACTATACTTTTGGCAATTGGGATGCATGCATTATTAGATTTGGGAGATCTTGATCAAGAAGCAATGCGCAAAAGTCATCCAACCGATTTGATGAAACTTTTCAGACTAAATTAAAGAATAAAACATACATAATTGGTAAATGAAAAAACTAATAGGGAGAAAAACTATCAAATATAGACTCTATTTCACTCTCCATATAATAATATTTTACATACACCTACAAAAGAACATAGGGAAAATGACCTTTGAGGGAAATTAAATATTGCGTTTGTTCTCATTTAGTCATTTTTCTTTTTTTTGTACTCAATATACCATCGAATTTGTTGTTTGTGTTCACCATAACCCTTTTGACCGGCTTTTGACCGACTATCACCTTTGATAGCCGGTCAAAGGGTTATGGTGAACACAAACAACAAGTTCGATGATATATTGAGTACAAAAAAAAGGAAAGGGACAAAATGAGAACAAACTCAACAGTTGGTTACCCTCCTGAGTCATTTCCCCTTTACTCATTTATAGAAAATCCTATGTCATCTCCTGCTTATATTAATGACTTTATGAGATTCATTTTTGCTTATCTTCAAAACATAACCCACGAAAGAACATTATTTATACATATACAACTTTGCAATGCACTTGAATATTTATTAGGAGAATCTTAACTAATCAGACGCATTTCATGACTACATTTACATTTCCAATCAAATGATTTATCGTATCATGGATTATGGACAAGTCTACAAACGAGTAGAATCACAAGTGCTATGATTTTTGAGTTTACTTGGCTTTAAGATCGAATTCATGGGAGAAGATACAACATCAATATGTACAAGATCATGTAGCTTTTGCAGACACATCACCATAATATACCTTGAGGTAAACGTTTGTGCTGATAAATATACCTCTCATAAACAGTCATATCATTTTGCAGAGAGGTGTTGACAGCTAACCACAGTAAGTATAGCATAGACCATGCTTTAACGAAGATACCCCTCCGAAACGCTCTTTATGTACGTTATGGCCAAAAAAGGTTGCAGTCTTTGATACTTTTGCAACTTTAATTTCATTTAACTTTTTGGTGAAACTGGCTCAGGAGGGTAACCAACTATTGAGTTTGTTCTTATTTGGTCTCTTTCCTTTTTTTGTATTCAATATACCATCGAACTTGTTGTTTGTGTTCACCATAACCCTTTGACCGACTATCATAGGTGATAGCCGGTCAAAAGTCGATCAAAAGGGTTATGGTGAACACAAACAACAAGTTCGATGATATATTGAGTACAAAAAAAAAGAAAGGGACCAAATGAAAACAAACGCAATAGTTAGTTACCCTCCAGAGTCATTTTCCCAAGAACATAACACAAACAATTTTGTTGTTAAATAAAAATATTGATCATGAATGATAAAAACAATCCAAGAGGAAGGAAAAAAAGCTGACCAATTGACTTTATTTAATGTTTTTCTTGTTTAAGTTGTCTTTGTTTCCATACTACCGAACTCTTGAAGTTGCTATAATCACTTCAAAAGCTGCCATCCAAATGCTACCTTTTTAGCCCATATTCATGTGTGTTTGTTATTCTAGCTTTTCTTGAGCATTTTTACTGAATTGACATAAGCTTCTTTACTTTTAGGCATTTTTAAATGTTTTTGTAGTTTGTATCTATAGTCTAAACAAAAAGTGTTTTTTTTTTTTTTAAACTGGCTATTGATATGTAATATGCTATTCTTTTTCTCCACATTCTTCTTATTTTTACAGTAACAAGTCATAGTTGTATTGGTAACTAAAGTAAGTAATTGTATTTAATAATAGTTTTTGGTGAATTAGTTTCACCCAATTGGACTTATGTTGTAGAGAGCACTAATTTTTATTTGTTAATCATGCCATTCAATATGATTCCTCTTATTAAAAGTCACTTTGATTATCACAAACTCAATACACAGACAATTAACTACTACATAAATAAATTAACCGGATTCAGTCACAGATTAAGATTGAGGCTTGAAACCCAGAAATCTAGTTGAGCAGCTACACATTCAGAGCCAGTAGAACCATATGAGCTAAATTTCTTGATTGAATTTTCTACCCCAAGATAATCATAAACCCCTTCATCAAATATCTTATTAATTCCACGTAATTCATCAAGACTCAGCTCCCGAAGCTGACAGTTTTTGTAAACACACAATGCCACCGCCCTTCCAACTATGTCATGTGATGTTCGGAAAGGTATCCCCTGCAAATAAAAAAATGTTAATATCACTTAATTCTCAGTAAAAAAAAAAATATGCACTAATAGGGTTTACGTTATATACAAAATATAAATCGACTTGCCTTGTGAACAAGATAATCTGCAAGTGTAGTGGCATCAAGATGACCAGCTGGTAAAGACTTTTGTATTCTTTCATGGTTGTATGTGATGTTATGCGCAAACTCTGCTGATACTTCTAGCATTCCTATGATTGTTTTCACACTGTCGAATACAGGTTCCTTGTCTTCCTGTATTGCAAATAACCAAACAAAAAACTGATGCAAAACAAAAGCAAAGGAGCTTGAAAGAACGCATAGTATAGTAATAGACTAATTATACACCTGTAGATCACGGTTGTAAGCAAGTGGAAGTCCCTTGCATAATACTTGAAGTGTGACCAAGTTTCCAAAAACCCTAGCAGACTTTCCACGAACAAGTTCCATCGGGTCCGGGTTTTTCTTCTGAGGCATTATACTGCTACCCGTTGAAACCGAATCACTTGGGGTGATGAACCCAAATTCCTCTGATGCCCACAATACCCATTCTTCACCTAGTCGAGAAAGATGCATTGCTGTAATTGCATTTGCAGAAAGAAGTTCCAAAACAAAATCACGATCCGAAACTGCATCCATGCTGTTTTTAGCGAAACACGTCAGATAACAGATAACAAATAACAGAAGATAAAATGACATGACGAGGGAAGTTTATTCTATAATACCTGTTTCTCATAGGGGCAGTAAAACCAAGAGCATCTGAAGTCATGAATCGATCTATAGGAAGGCCAGTGCCAGCTAATGCACATGCACCTAAAGGGCAGAAATTCAACCTAACTCTGCAATCTACCAAACGCCCAGCATCACGTTCAAGCTACAAAACAAACAATTTTATCAATTAAAATGTTACACAATTGTTGGATTAAAAGTGGGTAATGCGTATTTAAAATAAAACCTGTTCAACATATGCTAGAAGATGATGTTGGAGTAGAACTGGTTGTGCCCTTTGCAAATGTGTATAACCAGGAACAATAACTCCAGTGTTTTTCTTAGCCAAGCTCACCAAAGCAACCTTAGGATTAAAAAAAATGATTAATAATTGGTGAATAGTTGTATTTATATTAATCAATTTACTATAAAATATATCAAAAGGTAGAATAGCGTGATGAGAAATAAAGAGATGCACAAACAAAAACAAGAATGACTTATGGCAGAAGCAAAAATCAGGGGAAGTAAAAAACCTGAAGATGTTTAATATGTGAAATAATTGTATCAATAGCATCACGACACCAGAGGCGAAAATCAGTTGAAACTTGATCATTTCGACTTCTAGCTGTGTGAAGCTTCTTAGCAGGTTCTCCAATCAAATCAGTAAGTGCTGCTTCAATGTTCATGTGTACATCTTCTCTGTCAGTCCTCCATACAAACTCCCCTATTTCAATTTGTTTCTCTATCTGATCCAGACCTTCAAGAATACTGTCCTTATCGCTGAAACTGATCAATCCCTGTTGAAACAATTAATATAAAAATTAAGGATTCCAAAATCCAAATTTCAGAATTTATGAGTTACAGACAAGCTGAAAACAAGCTCCGGAGTAGAAGTAGAAGATGAGATTTTGATTGACATCAAAATTGAAGTAGATGCATGATACCTGTTTGGCAAGCATGGAAGCATGAGCACGACTACCCATAATGTCGTGTTTGTAAAGAGCCTTATCGAACGAAATCGATTCGGTGAACCTCTCTACAGCATCCGTCACTCCCTCCTCGAACCTCCCTCCCCATAGCTTTGCTTCCTTCGCCGGAGCCGTCATGTTCGGCTGTTGTGACGCGCAGCAGGATACAGCCGCCGGCGGATGACTATTGCTTTGGGAAGTTAATGGGCACCGGAAGGAAAAAGAGAAGATTTGATTACGATGATGATTCGTTGATGATAAATTAGGGTTTTGAGTAGAAAGTATAGTGGAGGGTGATGAAGGTGATTGTGAAGATGCGAACAGCATTGATTCCATGCTGCGGTGAGAAGGGGAAATTATCAGGTGCGTGTCAAGGAAAAGAAGGAGCAGTGGAACTCTACTAGCGTTATCGGGGTTTGACCTTTGACTTGACGGGGAAAAATGACTTTTTTATATTTTTATTTATATTTTCTATTCTTTTTAACGAGCGAAGGTTCGTAGCTTAAAAATAATTGTGTAATCTAACTTTATAAATCATCACTAGCTTATAACCCGTGAACACCAAAAATTTAAAAATAATTTTAATTAAGTTTTAACTTAAATATTGAACAATGATAATAAAAAATTTAATAATTAATCAATATATGTTTTGTCAGTAATTTCATAATGATATAATGATTAGTTGAAATTACGAAACCACAATGGTTTGAATATCCAATCGGCAATTTATATATGTCGATATGTTAGAAAATTATTATTTTATAGAATACAATATAAATTTAAATAAAACCGAAACATAAATCCGTATAATTAATAAAATTGTACAAAGAGGTTTAAAAGGAGAAAAAGAGGTTTAAAAGGAGAAAAGGCATTTATTCACCGAAGCCTACCTTGTTATTCGGCTTATTCACCGATTAAAAAATGTAAATAAAAAAAAAGAAAAAAAAATTAATAGGTTATTGATTTATTTATTTGAGATAGTAAAATAAAAAATAAAAAGAAATTAAAACCTTATTACCTCAAGGTCGATAGGAGTAGGGGTGAACATTTGGACCCGTGGACCGAACCGGACCGGTGAATCGGACCGGATCGAACCGTTTTTTCGGACCCCGGGCCGGTTCTCGGTTCTAGGAATCCATCAAAACGGGTTCGGTTTTTTTCCCGGTCCGGCCCGGTTTTTACCGGGTTTAAAACCGGTTGGACCCGATTTAAAAAAACAATTGTAAACTTTAAACAACCATAACTCATTCGGTTTAAGTCGGATTGGCACACGGATTTTTCCAACGTTTAATTTACAGTTTGTAGATGAATTTAGACTATATTTTTGTTGATTTTGGTATTATATTCAATAATTTACGGTCTTTCAAAGTTGATCAAAGTTGAGCTATCAAAGCTGAAAATTTTCAACTTTTCAGCAACGTTTTTAAAATTTTGTAATCTGTGAAAATTTTTAAACAACCATAACTCAGTCGTTTTAAATCAGATTGATACGCGGTTTTTTCCAACGTTTAATTTACAGTTTGTAGATGAATTTAGACTATAATTTTGTTGATTTTGGTATTCTATTCAATGAGTTACAGTCTTTCAAAGTCGAGCTATCAAAACTGAAAATTTTCAGCTTTTCAGCAAGATTTTTAAAATTTTGTAATATGTGAAAGTTTTTAAACAGCCATAACTCATTTGTTTTAAGTCGGATTGACCTGCGGTTTTTTGCAACATTTTGTTTACAGTTTGTAGATGAATTTAGACTATAAATTTGTTGATTTTGGTATTATATTCAGTGAGTTACAATCATTCAAAGTTAAGCTATCAAAGCTGAAATATTTCAACTTTTTAACTATTATTTTAGACTATAATTATGAATTTTATGTATCTTTGACAGATAAATCATATAAAAGGGATCTTGGTGAACATGATTTATATGTTAGTTGCTTTTATTTGGAAAATTAATTTTGTAAGTTATAATATTATAACATCAAGGTACATTAGTTATGCATGAAACGAAAAGGTAATCATTTTTACAAGTTGTATCGTATCAAACCCAATAACGTATTCGTTTTAACGAGTTCTATCAAACCCAAAAACTTATTTTAACGACTTGTACTCTATGCAATTAAAGTTGTACCGGTCCAAACGGGTCCAAGAACTGGAAAACCCGGACCCGGACACGGACACGGACACGGACACGGACACGACTCATCCGGTCCGAAGAGTCGGTCCGGTCCGGTTCGGTCCAAATGCTCACCCCTAGATAGGAGCAGTGAATGAGAACATAAAACAAAAGTGTGTCTGTGTGTTGTGTGTTTCATATACGATCAGAAGAAAAACAAAGAGGAAGGGGAGCAATAGTCGGTCTTCTTATCGGCGAAGATGGTTGCAAAGTAAATGGGGAAACCCTTTTTCCCTTCTCTTCAGGGGGGCTTCATGGAGGACAAAAACTAAGAAAAAGAAGCGAGAACACTGGTGAGGGGTGGTCGACGGGAGAGTTACAGCCGTCCAGCAGAGGCGCCGGTGGTCTAGGTGGGGCTGGTGGTGGTCGGACTCCTTTATTGTTAACCTTAAACCTCCAATTTTCTGCCATAAATTCAATTATTGAAAGGTAATATTGAAACCCTAGAAGTGATAATTTTTATTAAGATCCTTAAATTATTTATAAACAAAGGAACTGGTCATTGAAGGTTAGGCTAAACACTATTAGAAGCTTAATTTCAGAATAAGATTATGAAACTGTTGTTTGAGATATATGGAACTCCACATTCTGTTTCTCTAAATTGTTCAACTAATGCACATTGAAATTGATGTTGGAATATCGGGATATATATAATCTTATAGTTCTCATTATGTATTTGATCTGAGGTCCATGATGCCTAAGTAGTGAAAGACTTGTTTTGATTATTATATACATAAAAATCATTATTGATACAAAAGTTATATTTTTATTAGAAGAGATAAAAGTAATATTTTATATGTAAATATCAAATAACTTAAAAATGTGTAATGAAACTTTTTGGGTCAATATATGTTTTTATGTAAAATATGTCAAAAAAAAGACTTATTAACTTAAAACTACATTTTGATACCTTAAAAAAATGCATAAGATGTTTTACATAAATAATTCCAAGCACGCTACAAGTCTAAGACTATTTTAATTGCTCCAAAGTCAAGGTGGATAATAATATCTTTTAATCCAATTCTTACGGGCTTTGAAGATAATTAAAAGAAAAGAGTCCAACTTGAAAATATGTTGTTATGATGTGTATGATTGTTACTATTACATAAAGTTAAATAACTGATACCTCCATAAACCTTTAGACAACTAATTGAACAAAACAATTTACCTTAACATTATATATATATATATTTTTTCATAGGATTAGTTTTAACGCTTGTATAAAACTTTACAAATAAAACTGGACCAAAAAAGAAAGTGTCTTTCTCTCTCTCTATGTACATTTCCTTAAAAAAAAAACTTTAGTTTGAAGGGATGCCTTTTTAACATACTTTTTATGTATACACACCTAAAAATGGCATGTCAAAGTTAAATGTAGCATGGTTTGAACTACTTTTATGTGTAAAAAGACATCCATCTTTAGCAATCTTGCAAGATATACTGTCAAAGCAACATCTATGAAGAAAAAAACTTTCTGAAAAGGCAACTACATCAAGCTTTTGTTTTCGAATCTATTTAACAACTGTTATTAATCACTGAAAATACATTTATATATTTATAGTCATTTTTTGTCAAATTTTAAATAGATGGAGCTGAATCATATCCATTGAAGTTGGGATGAATAACAGTTAAACAAAGAAAAAATTAAAGAATTACATGTAGGTTTCTATAATACATGCAAAGTTAATTGTTGAGTAAGTTGAAAAGTACATTGCTATTATAGACCTAACAATGCATTCATGCTTCAATTTATTAATCTTTTTCAATTTTGTTTTTGATACAGAGTATGGACAAAATAAAGAATGCCAACTGCCCGGTTGTAGTCATACATGTAAGTCAAATTTCTATTTTGTTTTAATGTTGATTACATTGAATACAATTTTAACAGAAAGTTTAATTTTTCATCTAAAAAGTATGTTAAAAGACTTTCTAAAAAATTATTACAATAGAAAAGCATGATTTATGAAATCACAATTACACCAATTATGCTAAAAAATACAATAAAACTGGCATTAGTTCTTTAAGGGAAAAATAAGACAAATATGCCCTTTGTGTATAAGTTATGAAAAAACAATAACAAATTATACAAAAATAAAATAAAAACAAATACCATACTTCTGTTATATGATATCTCCTTTACATGAAACATATAACATACATAATGAAAGTAGGATGATATATGAAACTCAAATCCTTAAAAAAAAGAGTAAAAGAATGAGAAGAAAAATGGTAACAGGAGAAGAAAAAGAAATAAAGTACAAAGGTTTTTGTATATGATCATTTCTGTCAATTATGATAAAAAATGCAAAAAAAGAATTGCGGTTATTTGCTTATGATTCAAGAACGGAACAATTATGCCATTTTTCTTTATAAATTATGAAAAAACAAAAAAAAAATGAAAGTATAGATTCTTTTCTCATTTATAAATTATAAAAACGATGTGTATATGCGTATTTGATTTATAAAATAAAGTGTAAATATTAATTTGAGTAAAAAAATGAAAAACTTAAAACTTAAACTTTATATGGAAAAAATAAAACTCTTTGACAGAAATGTCCCTATGGCAGATTTAGCATTATACTTTTCTGTTATAAAAGTCTTTGACAGGAACATATGATAGTATATGGTGAAAAAAAATAAAAAGCTTAAGCCTCATGTTATAAAACTCTTTGACACATAAATGGTACATATGTCGGTGTTTTTTTTACATAAATGGTTTGTTGGTGATAAAACGTTTAAAAAAGTCCATTTGGCATGAACAACATGATATAAATGATCATTTGTCAACTTTTACAAAAATTACAAATGCAACAGGATATTTGATGGTATGCAAAAAATTTGACATTTTTTGTTTAAGGAAAAAAAAGGACAAATGTGTCCATTTTTTCATAATTTATAAAAAACAAAAACAAATGATAAAAAACAGAAACATATAGCATACTTCTGTTGTATGGTATCTCCTTCTGACAAACATATACCATACAGAACAAACGTAGGATGATATACGAAACTCAATTCCTCAAAATATGTAAGACATTGAGAAGAAGAATCGTACCAAAGGAGAAGAAAAAGAAATAATGTAAATAAGTTTTTATAGATCACAAAAACATAAATCACTAAAAACATAGGTTTATCACTCTGACTTTGATAGTCGAATCATCTTTAAGTACATCCAAATCTGTAATCAAAGTAACATTTGGTTGTGCCATCGATCTGCAAAGAAAAATCAAAGTCAATAAAATATTTACAATAAAAGTTAAATGCCCT